TAGTCCGAGCTCCATGTCCGCCTTGGCCTTCCTAACAGCTCGCCTACAGGCCCGAGCTGAGTAGGTATACTCCTCTTTGGAGATTTCACCCCCCTTCCACCGGGCGTACGCCGCCTTTTTGGCGAGCAGGCAGTCCCGGACGCCCTTGTTGAGCCAGGGGGGCTTACGGACACTCCTGCCCCCCTTGCTTCTTGTCGGGATGGACACCCCTTGGGCCGTGAGTATCGTTTCCTTAAGGAACGTCCACTCGTCCTGGACACTGAGTTCCTCTGCCCTCAAGGACCCCAGTGCTTCTCCCACTAATCTCCTCATCTCAACAAAGTTGGCCCTCCTGAAGTCTAGGGCTACCGCCTTGCTGCGGGCAAGTCACCTCTCAGCCTTCGCTTACCCAGACAGAACAGGCCCAGTTCCCAGAGTCTCTCCCCATAGGACCTATCCTCCATGCCCTTGATCATACAGGTGGCCATTCTTTGTACCCTCTCAAGCTTATCCACACTCTCCTTGAAGTGCAGTGCCCAGAACTGGACATAATACTTCAGCTGAAGCCTCACCCATTCAGAATAGAAAGGAGTACCTCCCTGGATTTATTGGCCACACAGCGGCTGATGCACACCAGAGTTTTATTTGCCTTCCTGGCGACGTCATCACACTGCTGGCTCATATTTATCTTCTATTCAATCGTGATCCCCAGGTCCCATTCAGATGCTGGGCCAGCCAGTGGACCATCACCCATCATGTAGTTGTGGTGAGGGTCCTTCCTATCCAGGTGAAGGACCTTGCACATACCCCTGTTAAACTTCATCCAATTTTGTTCCGCCCATGATTCCAGTCTGTCAAGGTCGTCCTGGATCTTGACCCTATCCTCCAATGTGCCCATGTTTCCCCACAGTTTGGTGTCACCCACAAACTTAATCACTGAACTCTCCACTCCCTCATCCAAGTCATCAGTGAATATATTAAAGAGCACAGGTCCAAGCACTGCTCCCTGGGGGACACCACTGGAGACGGCCCTCCAGAACAAGGCCATCTCATCATTTTGAAAGACAGAATAAAAAAG